AGGTCTGGCGTCAGTCAGGTCAGTATCTCTGCTATTCTGGCAGTTCAAGGCAAATTCAAATAATTCAATATGATGAAAATTGGGAAATTACTTCTCATTATATATAGCGAAAAACTATTACAAAACAGGTAACTTACTTACTTGGATATAATAATCAAAGTAAGTCATCCTTTATACTGAGGAATCGCGGTCGTCGAGAGGGGACAGGCCAAAACATGAAAACTGAACTATAAACTGTGAGTGAGCAATCCTGTATGGGAAAGGTGCACTGCCCTGTAAATTTGTGAAAGAGCAGGGGAGAGCAGATAAATTTATAAAGAAAATAGCAGCCAGAGTCAACTCGACTGAGACTTGTGCTCTTGATTTTGTGTACTATATTTAATTGAGAGGCTAGACTTCAGAAAATAGTCACCACACCAATGTATATGTCATGATTTATATTTCTGCTTGTTGGTAGTTGCCATGACATTCACTGATAACGGCTGGCTGATTAATGCCACATGGCAGGGCTGGCTAAGATCCGTCAACACGTTCTTATGAGCTTGTTATTTTCAAGCTTATGCGTCATGTTGGGGAGGTATTCGGTCAGGGTCTGGAACGAATGATGCATATGGATGTCAACTGTGGAATGTTGTTACAGTACCCTTAGCACCTACAAATATAAGCTGACATTGACAGTACGGTGGTAGTTTTCCTAATATAGTAACGATTAATCAATTGTGTTATGACGTGCTAAAAACTTTGTGTGATTGGTTGTATGATTGGAGGCAACGCTTTGTAGTCTGTATACTCCCTTGTAATTGGCTAAGAGTTAAGAAGTTAATAAAGTGATTTGAAGCTGTCTTGAGCTTCTGTGTGTTTTGTTAGTCCAACGTGGAGAATATCTGAATCCCGGGTACCTAAGTGAAGGGTTTAAAGACTATGAAATCAACCCCCGGTGTGTTGAACTCAAGGGGTGGATAATGTGACATAAATTGTAAGTGAAAAGTACTTTTAAAAATCAGAGCCCTTGATGTGTGAATGACACGCACACATGTTTGGATAGTTTGCAACAACCCATTGCACATGTTTATTTTTAGACTGTTGTCAGCAGAATTTTATATACATCTTGTCTTCTCCGTGTCATAATGGCATGTCACAGACAGTGGTGGTTATGAAATACCTTAAAATGTGCTTAGCCAAGCACACCAAAATGGTGTGCATTGCCTTGTGATATCTGCCATAAAGGTGATTGACAGGTCATACTTGTTTTCAACTCTGGATGGATAGTGGGTTCTACCAGGTGGCTTGTAATTTACATAACAAAGGGTGCTTACAACTTTGGAAGGAGAATTGAAATCTACCAGGTGTGCTGTTATTGGAATAACAAAAGATGTTTATGATCTACTGAGTTGCCTACGTGACACAGCTGCTAGCAAGATTACATTCTGATTGGTTTATGTGGAAACCCGGGTGGTCCCACTGAATCATGCCTATAAATTGGACAGACTCAGGACAGTTTTGGTCGATCATTTCAATTTGGTGTTTTTCACTTCAACTTGTTTTCCTGTGTGTTCTGCTACGATATTGTTTGACAAGTGATACAGGCTAAACCCATCATTCTGTGAGACTTGTATGAACTGCTCTGCGATCTCTTGCTTTCAGCTGTGCCCTCCAGAATACCAGCGTTCCTCTGCAAGCAAGACTCCTGTATTTTTTTCGTTCTTGTGTTGCAGAAGCCATTGACTTTCGTCCATTATTACATCCTGGAAATGTGAGTTATCACCAATGCACACTTTCCTAAGCAATCCCCTATCTTAGTGACTTTATTCATTGTATTTTTCTGTGCTTTATTTCTTGTAATTATTTTGAGAGGTACTAAAGCCAGGAGCTTTAACTCGATATATTGGTGTATGTGTATTTCATTACCAGTATTATAGTCTTGTCTACCCCATACTAGCAGTGAAATAACCCCCCTGTCCAGTGTGAGTTATGTGGGTGGCCCTCTCAATTGCGATAAGCAGGCCTTACACTGTGACACACTGATTGGTCCGTTATTTTGAAATAACAAATGTTTTAGTTGAATACATTGTATTATTTGCATGGCCATAATTTAAGTGTAGTATTTAAGTTGAGACATGTGTGGACAACTTTTGTCAGGGAGGTGGCATGACTTGATCCTGTAACATCCTGCGATGCTGATTCCTGACACCAGTGAACTGTACCCTATATAGGGGTACATATGCAGACGTGTTGTGCAGTAATCCCTGCTGATCAACAGGAACCACTGAAGCTCACTGCCTGAACTACCCCCGTTGTACCAGTGCTACCACTATCAGCAGATAGCATTGCATTTGCCGATACTCACTGGACACAGAGCCCGAGTTTAAATTGTAGTGCAGCTGCTTCGACAGTGTGCCAGATACGAAGGAACGCAACATTGCACATTGCTGTCCATTGGAGAGAAGAGTGTTCTCTGCAGCATCGATCAAGTTCCTAATTGTATTTGTTTACTGTGTATCCACACTCCTTGTTGGTTCCAATTACCAGCACCCCTATTATTTATTTATATTTATAAGGTTTCCTTCACTTTAATAAATAAAAGTGAAAGAAACCTTATATGCTGTGTTATATATCTATTGTATTTGTTACTGGTATATTTTTCTTCCATGCACAGCCTCAGTTGTGGTGATATACATTCACCAAACAATCTCAACCCTGTGGCAGATGATGAGCTGAAAGGGAGGAGACCATCACGCTACCAGTGACGTTGATTATTAGACCTACATTGAAGACAAGCTACAAGCTTCTGAATATGGAGTAGCCCCGTATTATACGTCACACTATGTTCTACTCTGCAACTCGCATTAAAATAAATCAGTGAACCTTATACACTGTAATTCACATTGTATTATATCAGAGAACGTTCTATCATGTAATTCAGTTTGAAATATATCAGTCTACTCCGTAACTCATGATGTGAATTATCCCCGGCTAGAAAAAACCAGCCAATGAATGAGATAAATAAGATATTGTTTATTTATTTTACTTATTTATTAAACCTTATTTAATGAGGGTAGCCTGGTAAGCTTCAATAAAGATGCTTATCTATCCCATGGCCCTCTAAATACAAAATCAATTATACAATATATTACAACTATAAAATACACTACAAATTTACAGAAATATGAAATAACATTAAAATATACTGCAGTTTTAAAAGAAAGCATCAAGCCAAATATTCCTTCAAATATGATCTTTTGAATCCAGAAAGCGAGTTAAATATGAAATAACATTAAAATATACTGCAGGTTTAAAAGAAAGCATCAAGCCAAATATCCCTTCGATTTACATTTTTCTTGCGTTTTTTCGTCAATGTATTAAATATATAATAGCATAATTATATTGCGTAAGTGAAAGAGTCTAAT